CAGCCCAAGCCTTTAAGCCACTGGGTGCCTGTTCAGAGTGAATTGTAACTCTGCCTGTAAGAGTTTGCAGGTGAAGGTGAGGTGCAAGGGCTATATAAGATCCATGAATCCTTTGATTTGTAAAGATGAATATGATTTGTTGGTATAATCAGAGCTTTAGCTTTTTCTGTCCATACAAGGAGTAGAAAAAAGTAGTAAATAAATTGATCTATTTTAATTGTAGAAGCAAGGAAAAGTCAGAAATCGTGGTATTTGCTTCTAATATTCAGAAAGCCTCTATTTTATAGAATCACTTCTGTGGTGTTTTTTCTGTTTTCTAACTACATAGTTTAAAGCAGGAGATGGTGTGTTCTATTTTGAAATGTTCCTTTTTCTTATGTTATAAGGAAGAGATAACTGATTTTTATTATTGCCTACCTTATTTCCATTTCAAACTATTTGTCCTATATGTTAGCAATTCAACAGGAGCCTATTTTATGATGTTAAACTTGTGGAAAAGGAAGACCTGAATCCCATGAAAAAAATTGTGTGGTGAGAAAAAAGCTTTTGGCAATTGGAGGGAAAAGTCCTTTCCTTACATGTCATACTGCAGTGCTTGAACCTTAGTCTCAACCAAGAAGGAAAAACTCTCTTGATCTTCATGAAAAGATTGGGTTGTGATGTTTACTTCAAAGACTGAGTTTTTCACCCTTTCTTTGTAGATGACATAACTAGGAACAGATGAATGCTCACACATGATTTGCACACACTGGAACACCAAGGTAGACGTCACCTGAACAACACTGTTGAAGACAACTGATCTACGCTGATGTTTTCAGCTACAGGGTTGTGCTGCTTGACCCTAATGCAAGCATAACACATTTTTCAACTGTTTCTGGAACCAATTTAATTATGTTAAACTACTACATTTCTTCAAAGCAAGAGCTGCAACGAGGCACAAACCTCATGTCTGCAAGTTCATGTTTTTTACCCACCTAAATCAAGCTTTTAATGTAAAGATTAGAGAGAAGCTCAAATAAACATATTAATCTTGGACAAACTGAACTTAAAAATAAAAGCAATAATTGCAGTCCTTGGAAATCACCATTGTCTAGAAATCTACATATTTACTCAGGATCTTGAGTACCTTTTGCAGCCCAGGCTGAATGTTACATCATTTTAACTACACTATTATTACTATTGTGCTAAGATGTGGAAAACTATCTCAAATTCAACCTAACAAGCAGTCTTACATTCCTCAGAAGCAACATTACTGAACAGGGATTTGCAATAGTTTTCAGAAATACTTCTGAAATGTGATATTAATACAGTCAGCCATCCAGTTTTAACTCCCACATATGTATTTTGGGTATAGTCAAGTGCTTGATCTGAAGAAAAACTTTCCTATTCTGAGCATACATTTATATAAAAAGTGTAGTTGCAGGAATTTAAAAATATAATGTAATTTCAGAGAAACAAATTCATTTGACTTAAAAAATGTTATGTAATTTTTAAAAGAAATTTTAAAGATGATAAAGAGAAAATTTGTCTTTTTCCAACTTTTTTTCCCTTTTTAAACTTTTTTTAACATTTCTTGATTTTTTTTTCTCCACAGGCAGAGATAAACTAGCCCCAATGCCTCAAGGCTAGCATCATTTAAATTCAGGAATTCATGCATATAATCCATAATGACAAAGGACTGTAGCTGAAACTGCCTCTATTAAGAGGAATTTTGAACATTATAACCATATCCACTAAATAATGTTAATTAATATTTTAGGTATTCTGAAGAAACTGTGAACCTTTTACTCATTTAAACTGAGCTGGATAAACCCCTCTAGCCAACTCTGCCAGGGAAATTCAAAATTAGGAGCCCAAATTCCTTTGAGGGTCCAAGGCAAAGTTTCCTAATGTTGGAGAAAATCAGATTCAGTTTCCTAAAATGTCATGATTTTAATAATTCAATAAATGTCATAATTTATTTTTTAGGCATAACAAATTCTAAGGAAGATATATACTGCTCATCCAGGATTCTTTTATACAATAATGAGTAAAAGAACTCAGAGTGACACTACTCTAACCCATATGTCATAAATTACCAAATAGGAATAAAAAAATTACCCCACAGCCTAAAAAGTATATCATACACAAACAAAGGCATAATATTACTAGCAGTATGAGACAAGGGGTGCATATAAAGATTTCCTAGCATGGGACTGAAATTATCTCTTAAATATTTTACTCTAATGTCTTTTTCAGGTTTTTGCACATTTGTCAGGGCTGAATTTGTTGCATTTTAAGACAGTCTGCAAACACAGCAACTGTGCTTATTCCCTTTGTTCAGTCTTGGCTCTGTTAAAAAAATATCCAGTCCTCACTTTCCCCTCTATTAATTTCTCAGCAGCTATGAGCAAACTTTCAGTACTTTCACAATGCATAGTTTACTTGGAGAATTAGTCAAACTTTCCGGGAAGGAATGGGAGCATTAACAAAGCCGTGTGGCTGTTTCCATAGTCATAATTTGGAACAAATGCATTATTCTGTTACTGAAAAATAGAGGAAATGACTCATAATGCAGCACTTATATTTCTATATGTGAATGGGTGTGTGTTTTTATGTAACCATATAGAACTTATGGTATTAGAAGCTAATAACTGATTATGGGGCCAAATTATAATCCAGACAGTAATGCTCTGCCTACTTGATTTCCCCTACATTTTAAGTTTTAAATGCTATTCTCCACTCACTGTCCATACACAATCATGCAAAGTGGATATGTCCTTTAAATGAGTGGTATTTCAATTGAAGTTGAAAGGTCATGGATCTTTATTTTCAAAAAACTTTTGTGTAGATAATGAAACAGTAAAATGTTTATTCTTTCTTTTTCACCATCATTCATAAGACTCATGTGGTTTAACACTCTGAGGTCTCCAAACATTTTTGCATTTTGTAGCAAAAAATTTCCATCCAGCTCAGCAAAATTAAGGAAGTTTTGAAGTAAAATCCTTATTTGACCGTTAAAAAGAGAGTCTGCAATTGGAGAAAATGCTAGAACAGCCGTTCAAAATCCCCACAATACAATGTGCACTAATAAAAACCACCTAAGAACTTTCCAGTTTTGTGTCCTGATATCAGAGATTCATTGCATCCATTTTGGGGACTAAGTTAGAAGAACAAATCTTAAGAAAATTCAAGGCTCTAACACTCTTGTGTTTTTCACCTCCCTACTTTTCCTGTCATGTTGGAATCAGACATTTCAGGTGAAATCTCAGCTAAGAATATAATCAAGAGAGATATTCCCAGATCTGATTAACCTACAGTCCAAATAGGTTAATGACAGAAGGAGCTGGGTCACTTTTCTCAGCTTATATAGAAAATCAGGGCAAAAGCTGGAAAGAAAAGTCCATTTAAGTCCAAACCAGTTTGTGTTGATAACTGTGGGACAGTGTAGCTTCCCACATGATCTGTTTGACAGCAGTGAAAGAGAGGAAATTGTGACTCTCAATCTTCAAGCTGATACTATGCCAGAGAATTTTGTGTTTGCTCATTTAGACATGTTTCTCCTCTTATTGCCTGATGTGGCCTTTTGAGACAGTCCCTGCAGATGACACCAGCAACACATTAAGACAAAAGTCAACGGCCTATGGAAGTAACTTGCAGCACTTAGTTGCTTGCAATGATAAGCAAAGACCCTCAAATCCCAAATGTAGCTGAGCACTGGACACAAGTGATGGCAGTTCTGAGGATACTGACCACCAATAATGAGGCCAAGGCCAATTATTTATTCCACTTACCAAATTTGCATTGGTCAGAAGGTAAAGATTTTGAATTTTTATCTTTCCTTACAGTGGTGTTTTAAGGAACTATTCATAAAGTAACTATACTGATGTTTCTCAGTTGCTGGGTCAGATCAGATGATGAGAGTCATAAGGCATTGGAAATATTATGATTCTATAATAGAAAGAAAATCTCATTCCCAAAGTATTCATATCCTTCAGGGCCAAGTGCTCTCTGTAACCCCTCATAAATCGAGTTAGCACTGTTACCATGGACACTTTCTCTTCTCCCTTTAATAAGAAATATGTAAATTTGGAAATAAGTAGAAAGAGAACTACATGATGTTCTTTTCTCCTGTTCTTTCTCTTGTGTTCTGTTGTTTTGTTGTTTTTTTAATTCATTGCCACCATTTCTAAGTGAAACATGAAATACTTTCCCTCCCACTTTTTTTCCATCAAATATAAATGAATACTAGTTAAAAAGGTGAAGTATGTTAACTCAGCCTCAGTAGTTTAGTGAAAGAACAATCTCTTACCCAAGTTAAGCAGCAATAAAATCTTCGTATGCAACAGGGTAGAAGACCAAGGAAACAGCAAAGCAAGAGGAAAAAAATCCTAAGGTTGCAAATTCTTCTGTGATGGGAAAAGCCAAGCTATCCAGGTGAAAAAATCATGTTCGTTTCACAAAAGCAACTTATTCATTTATAATGAAGAGGAAAAAAACACAGGAACAAACAACAATGAAACCAATAAACATGCAAATTCGTAACTGCCTTCAAAATATATTCAATTTTAAAACCTGTTTATCCTTGAGACCAGCTGAAGAAATAGGAGAGAGGAAGAAAAAACAAAGTGTAATCTCTAGCTTTAAGAAATAGCTTACAGAAAAAGCTTAAGCTGCTGAGACTATTGAGTGAACAAGATAATTTCATAATATAATTTGTGCCAGTTTGGTAATGACACTAAACATGTAGAATAATACCCAAGAATAATCATCTAGCAATTCAAGTCAAAGCTTATTTATTTATCTTTTAAATGTTTTTTTTTTTGCTGGTGCCTGACTTCCTCCAGAAACTAGTTGGATTGAGTGAAGCTGGACACTGCAGAGTTTTAGTCTAAGAAACATTCCACCATTTAAATCATCTTCCTGTGGGTGTTCCATTTTTACAGAAGTTTGGAGGAAAAATTTTTTGAGGTGCTTTCAAAAGGAAGCAATGAACCAGGAGACTGCTTCGCACCTGGGAGCTCAGCCATTGCACCAGATACTAGGCAGGAGGTGAGAAAGGGAGTATGATCTTTATGTATGTGCTGAATAAAGTTAGATACAAGTTGTACTTCTTAAAGGCTACTGAAAAAGTCGAAAGTCAAAAATTTCTTGTATCTGCTTAGTGGGGTGGACCTGCTTTATGATATAGACATCTCCAAGGGGTTGAAAGATTCAGTTTAAACACTCTTTGTTGGTTATTTTTCTTTTGCAAATTCTGAAATCTGTCATGGTATGGTAAATGTTTCAGTAGGACTTCACACCATCTAAATGCAATTGGATAATAAGCAGCCACTTTATGCTGATTAATTGACTGATTAAAGAGAGAGCTGAGATGTGGGGGGAAGTCTTCACTGATGACACCTAGTTTAAGATATGTCAGTTCATTTTCCATAACATCTTTTTCCACTGACAGGAGCCTGTTTGACACACTTGGACTTGACATCTTGGAAGCAGATAAGATTAATCTTCCTACCCTTTGGCTCAGACTGGTTGTGATTCATCATGTCCAGCTGTAGCCAGACCTCACTTTGCTTCTCCTCTACTTGTGCCCACTAAGACTTGCAACTGCTAGAGAAAGCTTGCTGGGAAGAGATGAAACCCAGATGAAGAGAGCAGAGGGAAGGATGAGTCCAGGTTTTATCACAATTGCAGTGATTTGGTGTTCACACACTGGCTGTATAATTGAAAGCTTCCTTCTGATACTTGCATCTCTCCTTGTGTTCAGGGACTTCAAAGTGATTTTCAGAAGAGCATTTTGTGTCCCCTTGGAGCTGATCGAAGGCCCGAAGGATTGATGCAGCAGAGAGATTGCTACTGCTATGGTCCAAGGGAAGCCCCAGGAGCATGGCTATAAGGGTAGATACAATCACAAAACGTGTCCAGACTCTATGTCTAGTAGTAGGTGACATCTGGGCAAAACAAGATGATCTGGAGGTAAGTAAAATGACGTGCTGGTTATCAATAGAGGTATTCAAGTGATGCCATGGAGATTTCTGACTAAGGAAAACTACAGTTAAGAAAAGTTATGAAACCAATCTTTAGCTATAAAACAACAATACTATGGGGGCAGGTTATTTCTGATCTTTTCTGGGTATTCCCTGAGGCCAGTAATCCAAATTAAATTGTTTACACTGCACAGAATATGTAGAGCTGAATGATTGGAAAGGATAGGTAGAGTGAATATCTGCTTCAATATTTTATAATAGCTTTTCTACTAAAATATAAGCAGAGAGGTCTGTGAGAAGGAATACAAAAGTGGAAATCTTGCAGTCCTGGGGTTTAGGTCTCATTCATTCACTGACTACTTCTTTCCTTTGTTTTTGGGCTAATCATTTCCATTGCATCTCTTTGTATCCCTAATTACAAACTCTAAAACTCACAAAACACAAAAAACTGTTTTCCTGCTTTTCCTGTTTCAAGCATCAGTTACTGATAGCACAGTACATTGAACTTAAAATGTTAACTTTTCCCCTGTCATAAATAGCAGGTCTTACTCATGATTTGCTGAAATGGTCACTTTACAGCTGTTATAAAATTTAGTTTTACTAGTTGACCTTATCACTCTGCTTTTTGCTTTTGTGTGATCACTTTTAATTGCTTAGGTTCATTCATTTACATTTAAATTAGTTAATTTCTCTTTTGGAAAACAATTATTCAAAAAATTGATTTTTTAAATTTTTTTTTCTTAGTTTACTAAATAAATATGCTTAATATATTGATGGCAAGGCTTGACTCTTAAATTTTGTTCTTTAAGTTTTTCATCTTATGCAGAAAAATAGTCTTCACAACAATCCAGATTTTTGGGTTTGTTTTGCCAGACAATGTACTTTAAAAAAGGGCTTATACTTAAATCTACTCTTCAGACTAAGAGCAGCTTAATGGATTGTTGACAAAGTATGTAGAGCTCAAGCATGATGTGATAATATGAGGTGTTTTCTCACTTTTATATAGTTTATACAACTTTTATTTTCATTTCATACCTGGCTGTCGCTTAGAGCAATGGTCTTCATACTAAAGACTAGAAGTAAGAAAAATCAGAGAAAGAAATTGTAGAGTCAGAGCTCACATCAGAGATAACAATATGCTTCCTGTGACCAAAGGAGATGAGATGTCTGTGACCAACTGCATTATGAAGGAAGTTCAGGGGATGGTTCATACTCTTTTCAGTCCACAGGCCTGCAAAGAGACTTTTTCATGTCTATAGATAAGGTTCAACTTTGGTTTAATAACTGAAGTTGTTAAGTTTGAAATTTACCTTATGAAATTTCAGCAGATGCTTTTTACAGAAGGAATAGTTAAATGGCTGGGCTGGATAGGGGCGCTGCAGAGAGTGTCACTGTTGTGTCAGTAGATCACTTCAGAGGAAAATTCCTAAGTCAGCAGACTTTCATTAATCAGGAAAGCTTTATTTTGTGGATGTACATCTGCATATTTCATGCCACCATCAGCTTCCTGTTCTACTCCACAGAGCCCCTTTAAGGATATAGTGGCTGAAATGCAATGTGGATGTATCCATCCACTCCTAGATAGATGCAGATTGCCCCTTCAGATGAGGGGCCTGTAATTTATCTGGAGATCTTTCACCATTATATTCTATTTCTATGAATAAAATAGAAGGCAAGACAAAGGCATAGAGACAATCTGCCTGTCCACCTTCTTATGACATTTATCCTCAGAGATGACTTTATAAACTTCCTGGTCATTTCTCCAAGCATTTTCCAGGTTTGTTCATACTAAATCATAATTACCTGAAATTGCCACAAGAGACACTCTAATACCACTGGAAAAATTGTCATCGTACTGAGAGAAATGTAGAGTACTGCAGCAGTTGTACAGAAATAGTTTTTCTTTGCTTGCTAATTTGATTTTGGGTAAAGATGCAGGAACATTTTGGGGAATTGATTGCTGTTACACTTTAAAGTCAGGTGAATATATATATATGTATATATTTACATGTATATATTTATACATATATATATATGTCTGTGTATATTTAGTGGTCATTTTGTATTTACTTACCTCAGGTAACAAACACATGAAAACATATCCTATACTCATTTTCTGCCTTTTTGTGTTTCTTTGGAAAGCCAAACTGACAGCTTACAGCCTGTGCAATCAAACCAGTGCCTGTCAAATAGGGAACTGCACTATCTATACACTATCTGTACTATCTACTTCTGGCATGCAACAAAATGCATCCAATCCCACAAAGAATCAAAAACATTTTGGTCAAAATATTTATCATGACACTGGGAATTCATTTTATAACATAAGTTATCAGTCACAGAAAGCTTCAAACGCATAGATGGAATGTGAGTTAGCCGGTTACTAAGAATGCAGAATCTCAGTCCTGGCATCTCTTCCTTTATCTTTTGGTTCAAATGTATTTGATGTCCAGAAAGTGAGTTCTACTAAAAACCAAGTCAAGAAGACACTACAGGGGGCAAGCATTCAGCCATTCCAGTTGAAGAAAGGCCCTGTTTACCTACTAGCTGTGAAAATGGACTGAAATCCTGACTCTCTGTACTAAAATTAATCTGCTGTATCCAAAGTGGTCTTGAATTGACATTCAGGCCCAAATTCACAACAACTCACAGCCACGAGCAAAGTCTCTAAATTCATTATACCTGAGACTCACTTTGGTGGATGGTTCCTCCAGTAACACCACAACAATACAAGGCACTCTTGTATTTAGGACTCATTAGCATGGTTGTTTTGATTATTGTGCTAGTCTGTTGGGTTCAATTGCAGCTGGTATGCTGTCAAACATTTTAACAGTGGCTGGCACTGAGAGATGTTCAGAATTCAAGCCCACACATGAGGGTTTATAAGTGCCTTTGCAGTTGCATACTGCTCTGTGTAGACATCAAGTTTTTCTACTATCACTTTTCTCACTAAGGTTCAGCTAAGCCATAACCACCAACATAAGAAGGATATGAATCTGTTGGAGCAAGCCCAGAGAAAGGCCACAAAAGTGATCAAAGGTCTGGAGAACCTCTCTTTTGAAGAAAGGTTGAGAGCATTGAGGTTGTTCAGTCAGGAAAAAAGAATGCTCTCCAAGGTGGAGAAGGATGTTTTACAAGTGTGTGTAGTGACAGGACAAGTGAAAATGGCTTTAAGCTGAAAGAGGACAGATTTAAACTAGATATTAGGAAGAAATTCTTCACTATGAGGGTGGCAAGGCACTGGAACAGGTTGCCCAGAGAAGCTGTGGATGTCCCATCCCTGAAAGTGTTCAAGGCCAGGTTGAATGGGCTTTGAGCAGCCTGGTCGAGTGAAAGGTATCCCTGCCCAAGGCAGGAGGAGTTGGAATGAGATTATTTATAAGGTTCTTTCCAACCCAAACCACTCTATGATTCTATGACTCTAATCCCAACTTCTATTAATAGTTTTACCAGCAAGCAAAACTATCTAGATATATCACTGGTAAATATGGGTAAAGATTTCACATAGTGGGGAGAAACAGGCAGCTGTTTTGTTCGGTGGTTGTTGTTTGTTTGTTTGTTTGTTTGTTTTTGTTTTGGTTTGGTTTGGTTTTTAAATTCTGCAAGGAGGTGGGTGAGAAATTACATCTGCAGTCTTGTATCTTTAGGTTATTGCAAGAAGACCTGAGAAAAGAATGGGAAGAGGCATCTGTAAATTGCCTGGATATAGGGTAGAGTCCCTGCAGCCTGGGAGCAAGATGAAGACAAGGAAAGAAGGAATTCCAGCTTTGTCAGGTGATTTAGAAGACAGATCAACTTGTTGACTTCATGTCAACAGAAAACTATGCAAGAAAAATGACAAATCTCTTCTGTGCTAGTAAATTCCTCATTTATTAACACTGTCTTAGCCAGTGGGAATCTCTGACTGGGAAAAGTACTTCAGTGATGGTTACTTGTATCTATCTATCCATCTATCTATAAAGAGATATATAAATATACACAAAGAAATGTCCATTTCCTCTGCTGCATAGAGATGTTCTGAAACACCTTGTAGTGAAAGACAACATGCCCAGAATTTCAGATAATATTTATCCTTACTTCTACACCTCAGATGGAGTTAGAAAATTGAGATGCAACAGTTATTATTCAAACATAGGTGGAATAAAACAAAAGTCATGAAATCGCATACTTTGGAGATTTCAGATATGCAACCTGTGTTGCCAGAAAGTAACTCTCTTCCTAATGTAAATCAGCCAAAGTACATATGACTATATTTTCCTGTATTTTTTTTTTTATATTTATCAAGTGCTGGCAAATATCCTTTTTTTTGCCTTCATCCGGGTGCAAGACTCTTAGAGGCCTCAGGGAGCAGATGTGGTATTCATGATTTTGTTCTGAACAATCTGGATGTTTTGAAAATATTCACAGGAAAACCAGCTACAACACCAGATGTGAATGTAGTAAAGCAGCATCTTGTGTTTACACTTTAATTTCTCCAGCTAGGAAGGCTGGAGTGTTATGCACTGGGAACTCATAATACAGGCTGCATGCTCTAATAATGCTGTGTGCCTCTCAGTGCTCTGCAAGCCTTCTGCACAGAGAACCCAACCACTGCAAAACTGAGTCCCCCACAGGTCTGTGATACAGCACCTGTATATTAATTCTTAATAGTAATAACCTTAGTGTAGGAGTAAAGGGTAAGTGAGAACTGCATCTAGCTGCAGCTGCTTTGAGCTGGCAGATCTCTAGGTGCTTGTGTGTGTGTGTGATTTTTACAGCTTTAGAACATCTGTAAGACTCACCAACTTTATAGTGCTACTGTAAATGCCTCTAAATAATCAGGGTCCAGGAATCTAAATTCAAAGCACATAGAATGGAAATCCCAGCTCATCCTGTGTTGTGAAAGTGGTATTTTTCTGTTCTGCATGTTTTTGGGAACCAAGTAATACCAAAGCAAGAAAAAAAATCACCATCTGGCATTGTAGCAGCCCATGTAATTAATACTGCAGGCAGCAGTCAGGTAAAGAATCTGATTCTGAAATTCATACCAGGTTTGAAGTGAGGCAGAGATACTGCTCTCTGTGACAGCAGGAAGGGATGACATTGCATAGAGCTCAGATTTCTGTATTTCGTAACAGTGGTTTCAGAGTGGTGCTTAGTGTCTTCAGAATGCACCAAAGTAGGAGGTAAAACCAGGGAACTCAAGGTGCTGTTAAAGGGATGTGGTGGAGGCAGAGGTATGTGCTAATGGAGAAAGGATGCAGGACAAGGCTGTATGCCCTGCGAGGAGGTCTCCACAAGTCACCACACTTGTCCTTCTATGTCTGTGCAATTAGGTGGGCGAGGATTCAGCTTTGGGGATTTACAATCAGTGTGTGACAAATAAAGCCAACAGCAGTACAGCCAAAGATGCAGAACAGCTACTTATTATTAAAACACTGCTGATAGCTGTAATAGAGACCTGACCATGAGAGCTCCTGTTCTGTAACCCAAACATACCACCAGGCTGGGAAAGGAGTGCAGCCTTCAGCAGAGGAAAGATCTATGGGAAAGAATAGAGACGTAACTGCAAAGGCAGTATCCCTGCAATGCCAGTCTCTCAAACGCGGAGTGAGCCACCAACATCCTCATATCAACTTGCTCTGCTCCACCTCAGTCTTGAGACTAAATTTTTCCATTTTAGTCAAGACCTTTAATGACAAGGAGGAGTAAATTGAAAAACTTTCCTTCTGATTAAATCAATGAATTCTCACTGTGGCTGTTAGAATAAATGTTCAAGGAACCATAGAGCACTACGTCATTGAAAATAGGCTGAGTTTACATGGGAGTGATTTGAGCCTGCTATTTTATCACTCCCATGTGAACTTGATGTGGCCAAATTGGCTCTCCCTTAGGACACTTTATCAGGGAGTTATATCTTTTGCCTAATTAACGTGACTCAGCACTAAAATACATGACTGTGTAGAGGATTCAGTGTGCAGGCTGCAGTGGCAAAGGAACACTTTACAGTGAGAGGCAGTGGTGGTTTTAAGAAAACCGCTCAGGGGAAAAAAAGAAAGAGCGAGCCTATCCTATTTTTCCTGACATCATATCTATGTTTGGAAACTTCCTCTCTAAATCTTTAATGAAGGCAGAATGGGGTTTGAAAAACAGCTGGAGGACATTGATCTACACATTCCAATTTGTTTATGTATAAAACATGCATAAAGGATTAAATGCTGCTTAACAGTTTGTCTGCTTTCAGCTGCTTTCATGCCTCTGCTTTGCTATAGCACCAATCCATGTCAGAAGATACCCTGGGGGGCTTTTAAATAATAAATAGGTTTCTTTGGAGGATGACTTTTTTTTAATCTAATATTAATTGGCACACAAAATGGTAATTATACCTGATCTAGAAATATGCTGTGCCACTCATTCTTCCCTGGTCGATGGCAATTGCCCTGTCTCACAGTAGCTGTAGGAGCATGGAAGGCCAGAGCTAAGGCTGGAGTGACATCAGACTAAATTAAGTGCTCATACATTTATGTATCAGCATAAAGCAATGCAAATGCATTTATAAGAAATGAATGATTTATCAGGAAGTCATTTTGATGCCTTTCTGTTGCATGTGACTAATATGGTGAACAAGTCAGTTCATTGATTCAAGTTCAGGATCCTGGTTCGTCTGTCATTATGAAGGGGCTGCTTCAAAATCCTGAATTTTAAGCACTTTTCTTTTTCTTTTTTATTTAGCCTATAAAGGTTAGTTCACCTCTATCAGTCTGACTGATTTGTTAAGCAAGAAATATGACTGGCTCTGCTTACAAGCTAAATGTTGAAAATGGTCTCTTCAAAATAATACATTGCATTTCTCGCTCATCTAATCCTATTTTACAGAGAGGCACACAAAATAGATTGGAGAGGCCGGTAATTTTAAAAGATAGGCAGCTGTCCATGCTATGGGAGGTCACAGGCACAATCTGTGTATATAGAACCAAATAAGTTACCTGTCACTCAGCTCAGCAGGGGCAAAATTCTACTTTGTCATGGCCTAAATTCCAAATCTTCAGCTGTTCTGCAGATATGCCACTGGTAACTGACAGCTCTGGGGCATAGCATGGGGGTAAGTTTGTAGATAAGATCAAAATACTTCTCACAGAGATGTGAGCTTCAGTCTTGTGTTGGATATGCAATATTTTTTATCTCCCAATGATATATCTGTCTCCAGCATTCTTGGTTCACAAAGTGAGCCATACCAAGTTTCGCAATTGCATCCTATAACATAGAAAAGCACCATATGGTCACATTATTTATTCTTATCCCAACTGGCACCGTGACTCCAGGGTCTTTTATGATCCAGTATCAGTCAGTAAGATCAGCAGAGGTAAAACTGAGTACTCTAACATCTCTAATGGGATGTGTTCTGGCAGCACAGGTAGTCCAGGCTCTCATCATAATGATCCACTGTAATAAGTACCAGCACATTCACAGAGAAACAATCAAGGAATCAGGAGCATAAAGAGTTAAAGATCCATGCATATAGCATTCTGTATTATCTTTCTATTGAGGACAGACAAATGCTCCTGTAGCATATAGCACTGCTAGAAAAAACCACAGAATACTTTAAGAGAAAGAAACCAGGCCTTCTGGGAGAAATTCCCCCAGGTATAAATGTAAGAGTGGAAAACTTGTGAAAACCACAGACTGCAAGAAAGATTTGCTGATGAAATCCTCAGAAAATCCCTGCACAGGCCAGACTTCGCTTAACTCAAGGCTAAACTAACTTAACTGATCAGAGGTGCTGTCAAGCATTCAAGTTATCCACACGATGGAAACAAATGCTTACCACTGATCAGGTGACTGCAGCTTACAGTACAAATTGTGTCTCTTCAACCTTTTTTCCTATTTCCAGTTAAATGTTATTCCTGGCTGGTTTAAGTCAAAATTGTGGTAGTTTTAATTAATTAGCAGAAGAAATGCATGCACATCCTGTCAGACTCTCTGACCAAAACATAGATTTAAAGGACATAAAGGAAGAAAAAAAATCCTAAACTCCAAAGGGAAAAGAATGGTGGGTCATTCACTTGGTAAATATAAATTGGTATATGAAGCTCAATAGAACTAGAGGCACATATTCGAGGAAGATGTTGGTTCAACCCGTGCATCTTTCAAAGCCTGATTGGGCTTTTCTCATCCCTCTACCAAATGCCATCTAACAAATTAGGCGCAGAGAAGAACTATTTATCCCATGTCAACAGAAAATTTGCAGAGGAACTCAAAGCTCAGGTTTTCCCACCCCCACAGTCCATCATCTAGTTACATAAAGGCTTTGCCTATCCAGAAAATAGCTTACAGTATTATGACTGGGTCAGAAAAGCAGCTGAGTGTTTTGGTTTCCATTTGCTAAAAAACGATTAATTGAAAAGGAGTGTTAGCTCCTTTCCCATGGAAAGGAGATGACAAGTGTCATTGCTTTCTCATTTACATAATGAGATTATAACTTTCTTAATTTTAGTCAAGACATATTCATAACTAAGCTACAAGGAAATATTTTGGTAGCCAGGGTGTATACTTCCTCATGCCTTCAAACCCTTGTACCCAACACTTTCAAGATTCAAGACCCATGGCTACCCCTGCCTGAGGATTCTTAACCCTAGTCTTCTGTCTCCATGCATGCACATTTCTCACACCTCACCTGCATGGTATCTGAATCAGTGCTGTTGCACTCAACCTAATATAGCTATTCCTTAACTCCAGCCCTCACTCCTGGGCACAGTTCCCATAGGTCTTTTGCTTTACCTGCCAGCCTTTGGCAG